CTCAGTGCATATTATGTCGACTTTGCGGAATTCTACTGTACTGCCATGTTAAATTTACCATGAATATTCAGATTTATTAACAACTTATAGTATTTATTTATACATTGAGGATGATGGATGATCCTCCTTTCGTCAGAAACTTAAAGTAATTTATAAGCAAAATTGTAAGGGCTGCAAACGTTTATCAGTTAATAACTGTAAAAAAATATAACATTTTCATTCTGTTATCCTAGTATATAATCATCAGTTTAGAAGTCAAACTACGAAAATCAGCGTTATATTTCTAAATTTTCACAGGACTAGTTTCAATGGTTTTATCGAACCACCATCCTCAGCTGCAAATGAGCGAGATAGGATATAATCATTAGATAAGATAAGAAAGCCTGGACAGAAAATAAGCTAGTGGCGCCATCTGTTGATGAAATCAGAACTGAAACATAATTTCTTTAAAGGCCGAAGGCAAAGATGGATTGGAATTAGGATCGTTAACTAGAACAGAAAGATTTTTTTTTGAATGTGAAACGCCTCTAGAAAATCTTATTCACCAATAGACGATGTTTTTTGAATAATTTTGGCTGCAGAAAAATTGAAAGTGTGATTTTCGGACCAACAGTGCTGGCCAACAGAGGACTTTTTTCCTAACATATGCCTCATGTTCCTTAAAGCGAAATTTTAACGCTCTTCTAGTTTAACCAATGTAAATCAAACCACACTAGCAAGGAATCCTGTAAATACCCCAGGAATTCATATGCGGAATGGGGTTCTTGAGTATGGAACTCGGAATTTTATTGAGGATTATGGCTCGCTAAAACCATCGGAACTACTGTGAAAATTTACATATATAACGCTGATTTTTGTTGTCTGACTTCTAAATTAATATTTGTTCGGCTGTTGTTTTATCTTAATGTAATCATCAGTTGTGCTTGTATATATATACTATAAAGAATATAATAATGACATTTAAATGTATCAAGTAAAATAATATCACAGAATTAATACCATGAATGCATTAATTTAATTAGGTATTAATTTAAAATTGAAGTGCCAGCTTTCAACACTGTTCTAACTCTCACAAAAGTAAATTCCCATTTGTTATTAAGACATAATTTATAACATTGAGAAAAAGGCCCACAAGTCTTTCTTTTCTATATTGTTTGAGTAGAAAAATGATGAATTGTTTGAAGGTCGCAGGCACAATGAACATGTTATTAAACTAATCAGTCAATTACATTTATTACATGAAAAACATGATAAATTAGGAAAGAATGATTACAATAAAAGAATAATAATAAGAAATAATTATAATAACAACATAATATAAACAAACACTATTCTCAGAACTTTCCATGGGGGGGGGAAATACTCCTTTCCCCAAATTAATAAATGCAGATATCCACTGATAATGGTCTCGAGTTGAGTTGAAATGGGGTGGAGATGCCCTATCCCCATCCTGTTTCAGCCAAACGAAGGAAAGCAACAAAAGTAAAAGAAACTCAAAATTGCATCTTTCTACTAAAATACAATCTCTTGAGTTGCTGAAACACTTCTAGGAAAGTAAAATCATGGGTTGTACTGTTTGGCAGTGTATCGGCATACAGCAGATAATACCAAACGCCCAAATCATTATATGACATCCGCATTTTTTTGAGAATTTGTAGAGTCATTAGGTTTTTTGAAGCAGGAAACGTGAAAAATGCGCCATGCTCTCGCCGGGACTCGAACCCAGGACCTCTCGAATACGCCTCGGGTTTGCTACCGTTACACCACAAAGGCATGTGGAAAGGAGGGAGAAAATACCTTATATACTTCTTCTTTTAAATGGCGAGCCCACCAGCGGCCGAGCGGTAAAGTCGCTGAACACTGGTAGTTCGGTCCGAGGTTCGAGTCCCGCGAACGGGCTGGCTGCATGGGTGTTTTCGTGGTTTTCCCCATGTGTAACGTGTATACGAGCCAGTTTCCCTTAGAAAGTCCTCCACGAAGGCTTCCCTCCCCTTAGGCAGATAGCCCTAGTGTGCTTTACCATAATTAAATACACCACACCACACCACTTTTAAATGGCGACTTTGGGAGAGGGGACCCAGTCGCGAAATCCTAGCGGTAACGAATTATTTTTCACACACACACACACACACACAAAAAAAAAAAAAAAATCTATTATTTCTTTACAACTAATAACAGCGTCATAATGGTTTAATTTGTGAGACGAGCAGTTTTCATACTCTACATTGAGCTGAGTAGAGTTTCTTTTTTGTTAGATGCCATTACAGGCACCACTCATAGCACAAACACCTTCATATCCTTGTCCATAACGCTGTTTAATCGAAATTTCGTTTTCATTCTAGATATTGAGAACGAGTTCTTTCAGGACTTCGTAAGAATGATCTTTTACACGAGAAACTTACATACGAGAAATGTTTCTTAAATTATACAACTTATGGGTTCTGAATTATCATTTCTTGCAATATGAACATGTCTTAAAACGACACTCATTTGATTTGTCTTCGATATATCTTGACTATTGTCTGATAACAAAGAATGTTCTAATAACAAAGAAAGAAGACAGAAGAAGCTGCAGTTATCTGCTTCACAAAAATTTATTCTAAATTATGACAAGGCACCTTGAATAAATTCATTTTGTATGGTAGCTCTCAAATATTACACACTTTCTATTGCCATTTCAAAAACTTGTTTCATGACATTGTCGTGTTTACTTCTAAAAAACTGATATTTATATCTTCATTATGCCCACGGAAAGCTAACGCATTTTTGATAGTATAAATGTAAAATTAACACACCGTTATAAAACCTTTTTTCAAAAATCTGTCTAGTATCGGATTCGTTCTTTGAAATTTTTGTCGATAGTAATTTTTTCCATGTTTCATACACAGCGCTCGTTTCCTCATGCGATTGGGGAGAATTGTAGTTTTAAATTATTATCATTAAATTATTCCAATCTGCAATAACTGAACTGCAACTACTATCAGAGTTAGGAAACAACCAACAACATTTATAGTGTGCAGCATCCAGCAATTTATAAAAACAACCAGTGTTCTGGCATTTGTCCTGAAGGTCTGGAACTGAACTTGCATTCGAATTCGTCCGTACTGAACTAAAATGGCCATTTCCTTGTTTCGTACACTAACAAGCACTAAAATGTCTGTTTCCTTGTTTAGTATAGACTGCATTAAGTTTTCCTATATTATATATGTCCTCGTCCGCCAAGAAATTCCCAGTAGATTCGATTTCTCGAAATTGCTGGAAGGCCTACACAAGTGCAAGTTACATACGACCGGATGTAGTTATATAGGAATCAGACCAGTTACAGTTCTACATGGATCGGACCAAAATGTCGCCAAGCCCGCTAGCGTTTGGCTATCTCTCTGAATTTGCAAACTTGGGAACAAAAATTAGTTGCCAAAACTATTGCCAGCTTGGAGCTATCTCGCCAGTTAATACAATGTTAAATGGATTTATCCCTAGATGTCCCAGGATGTCAAAGCGATGTATTCAAAAGATGTTCCTATATTTCAAGTTACCGCATTCCTTAGTTGCGTTTCTTCGGTCCTTTCCGACCCGCACGGGCATAGCAAGACTGTCACCGCTTCTGCACTTCAGCTCTTGCATTACTCCAGTAGAAGCGACCTCAAACTCTATGAAAAGTCTTCATTATTCTGAAGTGGCCTCCTGTTGGACTCCTGTATAATTCTTTAAGGATGTCCGGGATCTTGGAAGTATCAGCTGCCATCGGAATGCCTTTCCATCATCCGACTCGAACTTCCGGAACAAGACGTCGTAGCGAATATGGAGTGAGCCCCAGAAAGCTCAGTATTGTTCTGTCGTAGAACTATCTACCGAAATGTCCTGCCAGGTAGGTTTCCTATTTGAAGACTCCATTAAGTCAATTATGGGTATAAATACTGCCGTCTCCCAGCTGGGCTTTCCTGACTTCTTCATCATTCCATGGGTCTGGGTCAGAGGATGTTGTAGTTGTAACGTGACTGTAACCTGTTTAACCAGCTACCGTATTTCGCTTCAGAGAAATATCGACCCTGAAGCAATATCGGAAGCTTTTTTGAGAAGGGTCTGCTAGACAGACTTCGGCATTTCCTTGTGATGATTCTTTCCGATGACGAGTTCCACCCTAGGAATAGGACATCGTCATATTCCAAGAGTCTTTGTATCCATCTGGCTATTTGGTCTTCGGGATTATTGAAATTTAAGAACAATGTCAATGATGCATGATCTGTGCGCAGCAAAAATTTTCTGCCGTAGAGATACTGGTTAGAAATGTTCTGCGGTTTTAACTATAACGAACAATTCTTTTCTGGTGAAACAGTGATTCTTTTCCGATTGAGATGAGACACTTGCTCCAGTATGGCACGATACTCTATGCCTCGCATCCGTATAAAAAATAAATGGTTTATCGAGCTGAGGATACGTTAGAGTTGTTGTATTCTGGCGATGTTAAAGCTTCCTTCAGTTTGTTAAATACGTCCTCACTTTTTTTTTGTCCACAAGAACTTTTGCTGGCTGTGTCAGCTTGTGAAGGGATCTAGAACTGGAAGAAAACTCCTTCACAAATCTCTTATAATAGGTGCAAAGGCCCATCATTGTAATATGGAATAATTCCTAATATTCATTACGAATATATACTGATTTGGATTTGAAAAACTGAGCTGCTATTGCTTTCTGTCTAAGAAACTTGTTCAACTTTTTTTAGATTTTTTTATGAAAAATCGTTCTATGATAAATGGATAAATAGTACAGTAACTTAATCATGCATTTCTCTTTTAATTAATTTTTGGCGGAAAAGGAAAACTGGTAACTTTTTATAAAACTAAATTTTCTTAAAACTGTTTAAGTAGTAAACTAATGCTACAAAGTTATACAGAGACGTTCATTTCAGGTCGAGTAGGTTGAGTTTGTTAAAATGAAACACTTATTGTTAGATTATTTTGATGACAGTGTGAATAAGTACTTAATATAGCGTCAAAAATATATAAATACAATCAGGTGTTGGACCTTTAATGGAGTTAAAATCTATTACACAAATGATTCCAAATACGGCATTCAAAGCATTTTCGGCATTCGAGTAGCTTTTTATTGTCCACCTGAATAGTCGGGAAATTCTTTGAAAAGTTTGATAATGATAAAATCCAAGATTGAAAGAAATACGGTTGTATTTTACAAATGAAAACAAATACACTGTGTTCATCCAGAAACTGTGCTATTCCTCAATAGCTGAGTAAAAAACGGCCTCCAAAATTCACATTGGGACAGTCGGGGAAAAGTCGTGTTGGTGCTTAATCTAGGATTTAGCACCAAGACTTGAGGGTTTTCAGCTGTAAATTTTGGCCAATTTAATTTGCTTCCTTCCTCTCCAAGTGGATTTCTGAAAATAAACAAGATTCATAATTAGGAAATTTATTATTTTCTTACTTTAGTTTTGAATTTTTTTTTAGAGTTAACTATATCAAAATTATTGTTACAAAATGCCCAGCTGCGGTAAGATAGCTTCCCCGCAAAGCAGTTAGGGTTGCCGGAAAATGGCAAGTAAAGACAGGGTTGTCAGATTTGACGTGAGATCTCCCATTCGGCAACAAAATTGGCGATATGCCATGGACGGATGGACAACCTTCTAGAACAAATTAAACAATTTGGTTAAACAAACGGTTTGGCCCCGAATGTTCTCGAACGCAGCCCAAAAGCTACATAAACCCTGCCTGTACGCAGAATCTAGTTGATCGTGAGTCTATCGAGTGTCTAGCAGTCTAGCGAGTTGATCGTCAGTCTAGTGTCGAGGCGTCTCGTCTCTGTACCGCGAGTTGGTGCATAGACAGCGTGCATCGTTGAGGCTGTCGAGTGTTGTAGCGTGGAGAGTCTCGAGAGTACGTTGAGTTCCGAGAGCGACCGAACCGAGTCGAGAGCTGTACTTGAGTGCTTTGCCGTGAAGCTGTCTTCACAGTGATAGCCTGAAAGCGGTGTGCTGATTGTGTCAGCGTATTTGTCGTAGTATTTCGACGACTGTAAACGTGTTTTTGGAACTGTCCTGAGTAATATTTCCTAATAAATTGTGTTTTCGTTCTTCATCAAGTGCCGTCGTTAATCACTCCAAATCCACCAACCCGTACCAACGCAACTGGCAACCCTAAACCTGCTTTGCGGGGAAGCTATCTTACCGCAGCTGGACATTTTGTAACAATATTATAAGTTGCAAATGAAACTATTTAAGCCAACTCCAGGTATTTTCAACCTGGAGTTTGGTTTCTAACTCTCCATGATGATAAGGATGTACAGTTATTAATATTTAAGTAATCGGCTATTTTATAATTTCAGTCTTTACTGTACCTTCTCCTTTCCATTCCTCGCCAAAATGTAAATGCGGTTAGAGAGTGTTTAAGCCGAGGTGTTTGGATTGTAAGACGGAGCGTGTTCCTGCCTTTCTCGGCACGTTACGTTAGTTCTGATCAGCTCTGATAAGTTTTATTTATTCGGCTTTGCGTTATTGATGTCAACATTTGAATTTGAGACGCCGGTTAGAGTTTCCTGAGCCATAGATAAAAATTTATTTGCGTAGTCGTTGACTACTAGCCTAAGTCTTAAACGGAAATTTGACTGTTACTGTATCGGCGCAAGTTCAGTTTAATTGTGTTAGCACAAGAAAGTGCATTTATATTCTAAGTTCTGTTGAAATAAACAGGCTTGTTTAAACCTTTACAAGTATCTGTAGTTTCTTCAAACACAGCGATAATTCGCTTAGAATATTAGAATTTATATTATATTATATTAGAATTTTGGACTATTTAACTGTTACCAGATCAAGAAGAAACCCACAAGCCTTTTTTTAAACGCCCACCTGAATCAAACTGCAGACATAGAAAGCATTTGATTTAACTTTTCATTCACAAAATGAATTTAAAAATAATTCATGAAATTTGACTTCAGACCTTATCTAATCAGAGTTTTTACAGAAACTCATCACGCTCGAAAATTATCCTCAAAGTGAGGTACAACACGGCATTTGGAAACATGTTTCTATTGTAAGTTAGGTTATTTGAGTGCGGTAAAGTATAGGAGCCGACCAACCGGTATAGTGTTTAGGTGTGTGTATTGAGAATACGGCAAAACACACTAGGGCTATCTGCCTAAGGGAAGGGATGCCTTCGTGGAGGACTTTCTAAGGGAAACTGGCTCGTATACACGTTAAATATGGGGGGAAAACCACGAAAACGCCCATGCAGCCAGCCCGTTCGCGGGATTCGAACCTCGGACCGAACTACCAGTGTTCAGCGATTTTACCGCTCGGCCGCTGGGCCTCGGTATAGTGTTTAGCGTCACTGACTGCCGTGCCGAAGGGATCCCGGACGCTTCGGACCTGGTTCGAATCCCGGACATTCAATTCAAGAGCAATATCACAAAATATTTAGAAACAGTATATCTTTAGAATTTCCGATAGACAGCCTTGCGAGCTGGAGATGAAATGTGTTGCCATTGCTCGTCGAGTTTGCTCATCAAAAACTCGTTGAAAGTGTTACAAAATATGAAATAGATAACAAAACAAATTGGGAATCAAAACGCGGTGCCCATGTTGTTACGGGTGAAGAACTATGTTATTCAAGTTTCGATGAATCTATGTACCATTATTTTTTCACAGTGCGAGAAACATACAAACATTCATGCAGATTCTACATTATTTAATTTCTTTAAATATAATACAGGGCGATAATATTTGGTGGCAACAATTGAAAAAGTGATACGCCATTTAGAGTGAACCGACACAAAATTCCGTTTCGAGATTAATAGCCCCCTGGGCTTAAAATAACTTAACAGTTTAAAATACAGGGTGCGTCAGCTTCATAGAAATTCATTGAAAACATACCACAAGGCAGTAACTGTAATTTATTTATTACCTTGTAGGGTTTATATTTATTTTAACTAACATTTATTTTAAGTTTAAACTATCTTTCCTGTCAAGCCTTACTTTCCCCTGGAACTGCCAATGCCAGAGTATGTAAATTTTAGTAGAACGCGCAAGGATTCAAATTATCAGCGGAAGTATTCTGAGTTAAATAAAAGGGAAACGAGTTCGAAAAGGTGCTTTCTTGCTTCACAAGTGTGGAGGTGGCTAGTTAGAAATTGAAGAACCACGCGTTTCGGCCTGTGTGCTTGCCTCAGCAAATTGTTAATCTTTCAACGTAATATTCAGAGTTTGCTGAATTATCAGCGGTATTTTAGAACGCGGTGAGGTTAGTTACGTTTAGAGAGCCTCGTAGTTAGTCACTTGTTATTATCTCTTTTTAGTTTCTTATTTTTTATTTTACCGCCGGGTCGGCGTAGTTTGTGAGCGTCAAGAGCACGCATTTGTAACTTCGAAAGTTGAATAAAAGGGATTTAAACCCTTCTCAAGACTTTAGTTTATTTCCAGCTCTCAGCAGTCAACACTTTGTTGGAAAAAGTCTGCACATGAAAGATCAGGTGAGCGAGGCGGCTAAGAAATGTCACCAAAACGGGAAATTACTTTACCTGGAAATGTCTGTCGCAGTAGTCCGTCCATCTGGAACTTTCCCATGACGTCCCAAATTGAAATTTTGCCGAAATAACGCTGGGTAGCAATAACAGAGTAGTTATTCTTGAAATAACTTTCAACAGCAAAGGCACGATACTGTGCACTCCACCGATCCATATCACCGTCACACTCGAAATGGCAGCTCATTAGTACACGAATGCGGCACGAGCTGGCGCGCATTCACGCAGTACGTCATTGTACTACACAAGTCAAATTACGCTATGAACGCTGCCGCACCCAGTATAAATGCATTACTTTAGAAAGTGTTTTTAATGTTACGGTGAAACACCGAAATCTGGAGAATGTCGAATTTCACCGGTGAATGTCAACATTCACATAGTGGCTTGCTGTATGTCCGAAATCTTTTCGAAATACTCTTATTTCTGACTTACACCGGTCAATGTCGACATTCACCATGTACTAATGGTGAATGTTGAACATATAAGAATATTAAATTTTCTTCTCCGTAATTCATTCGCGAAAAAACGCACTTGAGACTTAAAATAAGAACTTAATATAAGAACTTAAAAGATACAGTACATTCAAAATGAGAAAGGGAAATAATAGAAGTTAAAAACTTACTAAATTATGTGATTCAAATCTTATTTATTATTGCAACAACTCAAACTATTATGACACTTTGAATTGACAAGAGGCCCTTGCTTTTACAACTGTATTTATTTGTGCAACAGTTTCTTTTGCAATGACAGCGTGTACATATACTCCTCTCTTTTCGACCTACAGCAGAGCATATCTGTGATTGTCGACATACACCGGTGAGGGTCCGAATGTACAAGAATGTAATGCAATATTCGATCATTCACCGACGTATTTGGTGAATGTTGACATTCTCCGGTGAAAGTCGACATTCTCCAATTTCGGTCTTTCACGGTAACATATATAAGAAATAATAATTTAACTCTATTCATTTATCTGCTCTATTTTGAAATTTACAAAACCGTATCTATTAGATTCGGGGAGCTAAAATGGAGGTTGCTTTTAAAGCTGCAACATTAGCTTTGCAAAACTATCATAATATTTCCATTACACAAGATTCGCTGTATAATATCCATTATATAAAAAAGGCTAAATTTTATATGTATCAAAATTTCAAATTTTCACTTATTTTCTACTATTCTTAGGGAACATCATTAATATAGCTTTGAAACATTTCACAGCTACTTGTTGGGAATATTTGAATAAAGAAATCATACACTCACCCGCTACGTGCAAATGAAACCCATTTTCGGATCAAATCGGCACTATATCTGCTATCCTCTGGTGTGTAATTATAGGTGTCAAGAATCGGCTCTCCGAATACAAAGGGGACTTCATCAAAATGAGTTACACCAAGCCAGTCGGCGAAATTGCTTCTCAAGGAGCGATGAGTGTTCCAGTAAGCATATACATTTTTAATTTTCTCTGCAAAGAACAGTGTTGGACATACGAAAACGAAATCACCAAAGCTATCAGCGATAGCTTTCACAATGGCGTCTGTATCTTCTTCAGGAATATGTTGGAAATAATACTGAAATATTTCATCAGCAGGAAAATTCGGAATCTTTTCAAACAGTTTAATAACTATCTTCTCTGCAATTTCCTTCGAAACCGGAGGTTTTGCGTCTAAAGGAAACAGCTCGGGTATGATATAACTAAGGAAGACAGATCCCTCATTCTGATTGTTACCAATCAAAACGTCCACGTCTTGAAAACTACCAGATTCTAACATTTCTACAGGTGATTTTGGTAGAAATTCGTCCCCGTGTGTTGGAATAAAGAAGCTTGGAAATTTGGACGTGAAATTATTTTCAGCTTTGGCTAGTTCTAAAGAATCTTTACTTTTGATGCAGGCCAAAACCTGAGAAGCACTGTATTCTTCGGTGCTGCTATCAGAGATACAACCGACAGCTTCACCAAAGGCTTTGAGTTTGAATTGAGCAATGGCACGACTGTCTGTAACCGCCAGATTATACGGTGCTCCACTTTGCAATATAGCTCTGTGAAAAAGGTCTTTGGACATTGGGGAAATCATGTGCAAACCAATGGACATAGAGCCAGCACTCTCACCAAAGAGTGTAATAGACTGCGGATCACCTCCAAAGTACTGAATATTCTTTTGGATCCATTTCAAAGCTAAAAGCTGATCATGCATACCAGAATTTCCTGGAGCATCATCTGTGCCATCATTGAGAAACCCGAAAATTCCAACTCTGTAGTTGATGCTTACGATAATAGCATTGCCGTAAGATGCCATTATGCTACCATCATAAGCGTCGATGTCCGTAGATCCAGAATAGAAACCTCCTCCATAAATCCAAACCAGAACCGGAAATCTTCCAGAAGGATTGGAACAGCACGCGACTGGAGTCCAGATATTCAAAAACAAGCAATTTTCGCTGGCTTCCGACGCAGGAATCCAGCCAAAATTTCGACTCGAATATTGAATGCAAGGCGGTGGCATTTTGGTCGCTTTCAGTAGACCATCCCATGGCGCTATAGGGTCTGTCTTCAAAAATCGCTTGTCAGCAACAGGTGGTTCAGCGAAAGGGATACCTAAGAAAGAAGCAACATCTGTGTCGAAGACTTTAACATACTTTCCAACAATGGAACCGGTGCTGGTCTCTACGAGAGGTCCAGCATCTTTGAAGTATATATTCTTTTGACATTCCGACGCGTAACAGAAACTGCATGAGACTAGGAAAAAACAAAAGACACCTGAAAATAAAGAAAAATAGTTTTAAAGTATAACACCACACAAAAATACTTAAACAACAAAAAACACAAAAATACTTAAACAACAACAACAACAACAACAACAACAACAAAAAAAAAAAAAAAAAAAAAAAAAAAAAAAAAAAAAAACCTTAAAAAACATGGGATATACCGCCTTTCCTTACGTATTCTTACTCTCTCATTATTTTCCTTCTAGCTTTTTACCTCCAGGTTCTGGAAGTTTTTTAAGTAAATCGCATAATTTTTTCTCACCCTCAGGGCGTTCACAGAACGATCTTCTCTAAATCTTAAAATAGATTCGCCCTTGTAGTGATTGTTTTCGTCTAACTGAGAAAGACTAACACTCGCAAACTATCCACGAAGGTCAGGTTGAACCTTTCGCTTCTAATTTTTGAACTTTATGCCACCCTGATGCAATTGACGAAAAATCGCAGCGAAGCAAACATTCAGTCTACAATTTCGGTGAATCAGCTGCATATACACCTTTTTTATTTATTTATAGTTGATTTAAGTTCTACGTAGTAAAGACAAAAATAATAACGGATGAAATTCGAATTACAAAAAGTAATTGTAATGTTATTACTTTACTATGTATTCTTACTAGGAAGTTGGCTTCTTAAAAAATTGTGATAGTTACCTGTAGTTTATCCCCGACTAATTTTCAATTATCATGCCCTTACTGTAACCGCGTCCTTCAGAAATAATAATAAAAAAAAATAACCTAATTTTCCCCCTCTCGATTATTAATCTTAATTTTCCCCCTCTCGAATAATTATTTCGCGATGCCTCCCAAGAAGATTGTTGACTCAGATAGTGTTGCAAAGAAACGAAGGAAGCCATGATCGAGGTGTAAGAGTGACAGAACTGGCGAAGACTTACAGCTGTTCGACATCGACGATCTGCACTATTTTGAAGAAGGAAGATATTAAGAAACTTGATGTGGCCAAAGGAGTCGCCGTAGAGGAGCTGTTGTTGATGTGGATTAACAAGAAGCAGTTAAAAGGCGATTCGGTGTCGGACGCTATCATTTTCGATAAGGCTAAGAATCAGAACTTGGACCTTCTGCGAAAAACACCAAGTACGTCAGCTGATAATGAGACGGTAATGAGATTTTTGGAGGCGTAAAACGGAGATTTCTCTTATTTTCTATGTTTTGTTATGAACTTTGTTTCTAGATACGAGAAATTCTCTATACGAGCTCAATGATGGAACGAATTAAACTCGTATTTCTAGTTCTCTCCATACACACACACACACACACACACACACACGTACACATGTACCGTATATTACGGCGTATAATGCGTAATTTTAATGCAAAAAATAAGATCGAAATGTACGGGTGGCATAATGGCAAACTGCACATTCAGTTGATCAATGTCAAACGAATTTCGCATACTGCGCATGCCCAGAAGAGAATTTGGCGCAATTACTACATTGGTACAATTTTAAAAGAAGATAAATACGGCTTATGGTTGATATTCTGTTATCTGGGGCGTAAACAGTTCAGGATTTTAAAACTTGTTAGGTTGTAAGTTGCTTCATTACTTAGAATGCAAATTATGCGAGAATGTAAATATCGATTGTAAATTACACAAATTTTCGTTTAAGAACAATTACAAAACAAGAAACATTACAAGATACATTAGCTGAATCTTTATTGATTATACTTGTGAGGAATAAAAGCAAATTGCGTATACATCGTACGTTTCATTCATAAGTACTTTAACGAATTAAAGAATAAATCCAGTTTAAATTACTTAATTAAAGTCAAAAAAATTATCATAAATAACTGATATTAAATATAACGTTCATGAACAAAATAAACCAAAAGGAAAGGAAACAGAAGCAAATGCATTAAGCACAAAACAAATTTGGGTATTATTGCAAATGTAAACAGTCGACAAGACCTACACGACAAACAGGCTTGTGTAGAGTTGCTTATGCCTTAGTCGCCAGTATTTCCTCCCACGTAAACGGTACACCATTGAGCATGCGCAGTAAGCGAAATTCGTTAACATTGATCAACTCAATGTGCGATTTGCCATTACGCGTATAGTTGTGCATTATACGCTGGATATAACGTACAGTCACTAGGATATTTCTTGAAGCCGGAAACATGAATAATTAGCAATTATCTCGCCGGGACTTGAACATGGACCTCTCGAATACGCGTCGAGTTTACAATCAGTTACACCACGAACGAAGGCATGCTGGAAGGAGGAAGAAAATACCTTATAATAAAAATGACTGATATCAAAATAAGGAAAAGATGAGCATACAAAAATTAGATTTCTACATTTACTTAAAAGCTGCTTCTTTAAAAGAAATGACATAGCTTATGTACTCAAAAATTATCGGATAACATGAAAAGTTCGTCCAATTCTTCCGTTACACCTTCAGGAACATCATCGAATTCTGTTTCATCTTCAGCATTACTGTTACTTTGTAAATATACTACATTTTTTAAATGACATTTGAATTATGACAGTTTTAATTTCATTCTA